CTGGCTCTGCAAGGGGGCGAAGGGTGCCGCTTCCCACCAGCCTGGCCGTCTGCCCCCGTCCACGGGGCGCTGGGGGGTCCGCCGCTGCCGCCGCCTCTCCTGGGCTCAGACTACCTGCCCGTTGAGGGCAGGGGACAGAGGCCTTTCAAAGGGGCGGGAGCCCTTCTGTAAGCCCCGCAACCGCGGCAATACATCACGTGGCTTTGGACGTGCTTGCAGACGCGGTGCTTGGAACGGGGAGGAGAGCGCCCAGGGGCCTCCCTCAGCTTCCCAAGCCCCCTGCCGAGGTCTCCACCGCAGCCAGTGGAGGCTTTCAAAGCAGCCCTTTTTCTGGGACGGCCCGAGGATTCCTGGCCCAGGCAGGGTTGGGCCAGAAGACCTCCGAGGTCCTACCCACCCACCCAGCGAGGCAGGGAAGAAAGCCCAGGCGCGCGTTCTGCAGCCCAAGCGCTTCTGCAGGTGGATGGACGGATGGACAGCCAGGGGTGCCCCTGGGCAGCCCCCCAGCATTCCTGCCAGTTGGGGTCAGTGGGAAAAGTAGTCCAGGGCCGCCTGGAGCCGCCTGAGGGTGACTTCCTAGCCTTCCCAGGCCTGCTCTCTGGAAGCTGCTCGGCCGGGGGAGCTCCGGGCGCCAGAGGGACTGCCATGTTGAGGACCCCCGGCGGCCGCAGGGCCCTCCCGGGCTGCTCCTGTGGAAGTTGGAAAGCTGTTGAGCTTCAGAGGTAGAGGAGAAGGAAAGGGGGCCCCTGTGAAGGGAGAAGGGCAGGTCACTTTTCAGCTGCGCCTCTGAAAATCTGTGCCAGGGCTGGAAGACCTCTGAGCATAGGCCGAGTGTCTTTCACTTTCCATTGAGGTGGCAACTGGTGGCGAGGGGGCTGGCTGGAGGGCGTATCCTGGGATTATCTAAAATTACTCTAGTGGAAATTCAGAGCGAGCAGTTCCCTCAGTTGAGGAAGGCATATAAAAATCAAGGGGGACCGTACTCTAAAGAGCCAGAGCCCGGAATTGTGAAAGGCTGGTTTCCGTGACACATTGAGCCATAACCCCTTTTAGCCTTGTGTGGATGAACCCCCCAAATGGGGTCAACCACGCTTCAGCTCACCACGCGTAAGTGGGCTGTGCAGAGAGCCAGGCTGGCCAGGTGAGCGTAAGCTGGTGACATAAAAACAAAAGTTGTGAAAGATTTAAATGATTTTAAAGCAAACAATGAATGTGTCTTTAATATGCTGGTAGTCGGAAGCTGGCCAGACAGCAAGGCAGTAAAGGAATTAAAAGGACGTGCAGATAACTGGGGATTGAATGGGTTTGGGTGTCCACAGAAAATGCAGAACAGATCCTTCTTTCTGAACTCTTTTCTGAGGAAGATTTTCTGAAGAACAAACAGAGGTAACAAGAGACGCGTTAATTTTTAACCTTAGAACGTTTATTTGACCTGCTAGCAGAAACCCCAAACGTTGGAACAATCCAAACGCAGAATTATCGATCTTCTAGCAAACGTTTACAACAGATTGCTAGAAACCTGAGTGCTCAGGGAACATCAGTGCTTTAACACATGGAATAAGGAAATTATAATCCGGGTAGCTTGATGTCTCCTCTCAATAAATTGATAGAAAACCGAATGTCGGTAAGCGTGTGGAAGGAATGTGTTTTGCTGAGGAGTGTGACTTTTGCACATAAACAGACTGAATCATCTGCTCTTGACGTTCTGATAAACAGTCTGTAATAAGACAATCGATTCTTGAACTTCTGCCTGATCCCCTCTCTCACCAAAGTAACCTAGTGAATTTAGCAGTCATGAGATAAGAGGGCAGGTCTATTTCTAGATTTGGTAAATGGTTCAAGAGTAGGAACGCAGTGCAGGAATAAAAAGAGTTTTTACAATGGCGGTAAAGATCGCAATGACCACGTTTCCCAGATATGAAGCCTAGGCTACTTAAGCGCAGTTGGAGTGAGCGAAGAAGTGGCTGAGAGCTGTGGAAAACCACCAGATTATTTACAGTAGTGACATCCAAAGCACATTAAAAAGTTCTCTTTAGACTAGATAAGTGGATTTTTTTTAAGGACAATCCTGCTTGGGAAAAACTTCATCCTGTTGGCTGGAGATGACAGGACCCAGAAGTGGAGGGTCCCAGATGGGGTAGAGCACCGGGCCCTTTTAAGTTAGAAAGAGTGATTGAGTGAGTGATTGATTGATTGATTGATTGAT